AAATATGGACTTTGTAAAATTATTTTACATAGTTTCATGTTAACTGTACCTAATGTCGGTCACCTCTGGAATGTCATACATGAACCTTGTACGAATAATTTCCTTCATTTTATGTTGTGACCAGAACGTGAGGCACTTCCGTGACAAGCTCTAATAGCGGTTAGGGTAAAAAATTCAACGTAAATGAATAAATACCCGACCGAAAGCCCCGAATTGCAAGCCGATAACGTGCTAGCGTGAAACGAAATACATTTTTTATAAACTGGACAAAAACTTGATAGAACAATGAAGCATTAATAACCCAATGGTTTTGAACAATTTTCGTGTAATAGAATTTTTTATTCTTTTTTTGTTGTCCGTACCAATGTACTTAAGTACGTTTATGGGCTCTGAAAGGAATATAATTAATAAAAACTGTTATTTCTGCTATTAAGGATAGTTTAATACAATACCTATGCAGTTAGGATCCTTGGCCTAGTAAAAGTAACGACTTTTTCCCTATAAATTATATAAATGAATAAGAAAACGTGTAATATTGTTACTAGAAAGACCAAGAGAAAAGAGCGTCTGTGACGCAGATGCGTTTGACTAGATGAGGCCGTAATATGTACGTCCAAGTTCGAGTCCCGCCATGAACCGATGCGTTTTATTTTTCGAATTTCATACGTGATTCGCTGACGGGAAACATCGTGACCTACAAATATCTGCGAAAAACTTGTCTGATGTCTACGACCCCGCTCTGGATCATCGAGGTTAACTAATGCCTAGTTATTCCTTACTTAGGGTAGGCTCGGAGCCTCTTAGTGAATGAACTAAACCTTTATTTAAAATTGCAAATATAAAATGCAGTTACAATATGAATCTAATTAAAATCCGTCACAGCCGAAAGTAATGTTTCGCGTGTCCAGTTAGGTCGCGGATCGATAAACAACCACCAAACGAAACACTTTAATATTTAAAAGCACTAAATTCAGTTCGCGAATCGATGTCCGCGAATTCATCTCAAATGATGGTATAACGTAACGTAAGAGCAGACCTTTGACAAAATTATCGCATATCTGTTGTGTGATTGTCGATTGTTTCGCAGCCAACTGTTTAGTTGCACAACTAAAAATCGAGCTCAAAAGAATCACAGCGAGAATAAACAGTTGTGTTATAGTTCAGTTAAAAGTGCTCGCTCTAATATTGATTTTTTTTTCAAAAGCTATAAAAATGTATCGAAGGTGACATTTTCAATAATATCCGGTGTTTCGTGTATTGACCTTTCTTGTTACGGAATCGAAATTTACTAAAGTAAGAAACGAAATATTGTTTTAAAAGTTCCCACAGTAGCAGTCGGTTGGTATCAGTTTATTGACACGTTTGCCTTCGAGATTAATTTAGGTTCTTGTACTCAAAATTAAAAAAAAACGCAGTGAAATTTCAATAGATTAAGATCGTAATTAATTCATACAAGACAGAAAAATTTACAAAGTTATGTATGAAATTTGTCGGTATCCTTTAGCTGTATGTCTATATGGAAGGATGGTGTGAAAGAGATCGAGTGATATGCTTAAGAAGGGAGTGAATTCATGAGTGATGTATGGAAGGACAGCATATGCTGCCGACCCTACGTAGGGATAAGGGTAAGATATTAATGTTGGACGTATTCATCTATATCTATCAGTACATATTAATTAGAGTGCGTCTTTGTGCTTTTAACAAAAAGATGTTTGTCGTCCCGTAAGACCACCTTTGTTCCGGGTCATCCGAAACTGACCAATTTCCATGGCAATTGAAATGTAAATTACAGTAAAATGGGGTTATTTTTTTATTTCACTCGGACAAAGTCGAGAGCAATAGCTAGTACAGGTCAGTGACTTAACATTTATCATGATGACACATAAAATATAATAGACAGGTCAACAGCCGTAATTTCATTGTCTTAAACTTTTCTGCATTTAAATAAAGTGTTATCTTCTCTTATCTTTTAAAAGGGAATACTATTTTTGCTTCTTTTATACATATAAAAGTAAACAACCGATTTATCTTTACAAAATATAGATAGACATAATAAATATTTTTCGTCTCTGTCTAAACGAGTTAAGGTCTACGAGATTTTTACTAATAAGCACTGTGATTCATAAGATATTGGTTTGTTATTATTTAAAAACTAGCTGTTCCAGTGCGGCTTCATCCGCATGAAATGTCAAAATTCAAATGGACAAATGACAACTGCTTCCTTGATGTTGGCAGTAACTTATGGTCTATTTCCCACATTAGGATTTTTATCTAAAATATTTACCCCCTAAGTTTAATGGCGTTAAATTATATAGTCTAAAGCGTGACGTTAGTGTAGAGCTTATTATTTAAAAAAAGAACTATTCAAAATATGTCGTGATTTCTGACATCTTAGGCAACAAAGAAGTGTGTGTTTACGCTTTATTATAATAGTATAGATATACATATTAATTAATAATCCACTGATATAAGATAGTATTGCAAGAATTATTTTACTTATTTATGATTTACAATAACGTATTCAAATGTCCGAGCAACGCTGAAATAAAACAATTTGTCAAGTAGAGACACTTGTACAACAACGTATTGTTACGTATTTAGATAAAGGAAATTAACAGACAAAATAAGTTTGAACCGCGTGCTTGATGTAAACACTATGAAGTTACCTAGTAAACAATCTATACTATTATAATAAAGCGTAACACACACACTTCTTTGTTGCCTAAGATGTTAGCAATTACTGCATGTTTTTGAATAATTATTTTTTTTAATAAAAAGCCTTACCCTTACGTCACGCTTTAGGCTATATATTTTCACGCCATTAAATATTTTGGATAAAAACCCTAATGTGGGAAAGGAACCATAAGTTGCTGCCAACATCAAGGAATCGAGATTGCCAAGTTTTGTCATGTCATGTCATTTTGACATTAGCAATAGACAATTTGACACATGTACACAATAAAATAAAGTTTTATAATTTCATGCGGATGAAGCCGCACGGGAACAGCTAGTTACATGATAAAATTCTCATACTTCGTCGTAGGGATTTCATTCCCCTCAGCAAATTGTTTGAATCACATGCTGTTTTTTCCCTAAAACAGATTTCATGCGTCATTATGAATTAACTATTAAAAACAATAAGCATAGTCATTGCACGAGAACAATTAATTTGGGGAAACTTATTCCAACGAATTGTGACCGAAACATTCGTTATAAAACCACATTTTCACTAATCATTTGTAACGCATACGCGGTAGCGGATATAATACAAAAGCAAACGCTAGATGAGTGAGCTCTGAACAGGTTCAAAAATCAGTTCACATAGTAATTGAGTGAATCATCTGAGCTGATCTGCAAACCAGTACACTGATCTGCTTCATACGAATTGTTAGCTGATCTGCAGTTCAACAAGCACACGCAGTAGCGCAGACCGCGCTAGTGGATAAACGGTCTTACTATCACAATAAAAAACGTTTAATGGTTACTTATGTTGTTCTATAGTTTTAATTTATATCACTAAATCAACACTAAGGGAGCAATTTACTTAAATGTATGAGTGCAATAACACCTTACAATAGGAGTTTTTGTTGTAGATGAAATGTTGAGAGCGAGGTTTGTCAGATCATTGGCCTTGTGGCTTGGTAGCTTCCCCCCCCCCCATAGACACTCCAAAAATGTAAAATGAATACAAAAATGATTACATATAAGATTATGTTAAAAGAAACTGCGCCCCTTAGACCTAGCCTAAATTGGAGACGCCCATGTTCTTGGATAGCACCAAATAGAAGCCCATGGTCTCTGCTTACCCCTCTATGTTAAGGATGTGAGGTATGTTTTTGTTGTAAACATTATTGTTATGTTATGTAGCAGTTGGTTTTCCTAATAAAGGTGTTTACATAAATTTCCCGGTTTAAATAATTTATCGTGCATGAGAACTTATATTTCCTAATTCTAAGCATTGCCGCTGATGAGGAAAAATTTATAAAACAATAAAATGTATTAATATAAAAATTCTCACACTAATTCAAACAGGGAAATGTGTTAGAAACACAAGTTTGCCTAAAGTTTTGAATACACGAAGTGAGGAATTTTTAAAACCACTTAAAATATTATTACCTACTTGTGTGGATTTTCTACTTGTCTAGGATTGGAAATTTGGCATAGTTTTAAATTATGTTTTATTTTAATTCCGTGTCGACAAAGTCGCGGGGATACGCTAGTATATCAAGTATCTATATCTAGTAACGAGCTTCATTTGTTATTTCCAATAGGAATGACATCTAACATCTAATAACAGTTTATTCCTTTTCAAATGTTTTCTAAAAGTTCGTTGTGTTTTCAGCCAATTGGATAGTTTACTAATAGACGTAATTATTAATTACTGTAACCTTAAATTTAACTATACATTGTGTATCTGTTTAACCAGCTACATGTATTTCATTGCCACCTGCACATTCCAAACAGTTTAACCTTAAGCAATATATAACCTAAGCTTTGTTATATAACTTGTACAAAACCTGTTTTGTTTCACTTCATACGTTCAAAATGTACATGTAATTTATTTAATAAATATCATAGTTCGATTTGTTATATATATACAGTTGTATTTGATCTGGATTCAACCTACAAAGTAGTTAACCTAGACACAGCTTAGATTGCAATGGTAATGAATTAAAACTAACATTGGCGCAAAGGATAAGTATAAAGACAGCAACTACGACTTGCAATACGAAAATATCTCTTTAAGAAGTTCGTCAACCCAAAAGTTGCGAGCTCATACGAGTTTCCTATTAAAAACTTGTGAAACAACACGTAGGTAAAGGCTAAAATCGCTTGGCGGCACACGCGAGTGATGTTGCACCGACTACGAATGCAGTTAGCTCGCAGCTAGCTTCACACCGTTGCAATCAAGTTCATAGATTAAGATTGGCGTTCCATTGGAATGAATTAACTTATAACTGTAATCAGTACATCGCTGGCTACGTTCATTCTGCACTTACCTTGTTAAACACGACCAGTATTTGTCCATAAGAAACAAAAATAAAGTACTTTTGGTCCCACAAGTCTTTTTTACACTTACACTACGAAAAACTAAGTCTATCTTTGCACTATGTCATCACAAAAAATCATTTACTTTGTACGTAGAAGGCACTTTATACGTCTATCATCACAAAATTGAGCAAAGCGAATGAAGGTTTCACTTCATGAGGTCTACGAAAGCGTCTTCGCCGCTTTTGAATAACCAACGTTCGGTCCACATTCACGGATAGTCCGTAAATTGAATTCGGCGGGGATCGGCACATCGGTGTCCATTCGTCGGTTTTTCGGCTTTTCGTTGCGGATGCGGCGCAAAGCGCGTGCGGGGCGGCTCGCGCGCAACTGAAGATTGTCGTAGGTTAAGTTTCGAAAAAAAAAAAACAGCCACACACGTACACCGCTAGTTCAATTTTCCGGCTCACGATCCCGCCACAGTTTCACCGCGCCAAAAACACATCGCCTCCTCGCACATCGTTACCGATAGCGAGGTTATTACTATTGTTTTGACAGCTCCGTGAGTTGCAAACATGTGTACTATGCCGATATAGGACACGTGTAGATGGCGCTGCCGACGCGAAGAGAGGAATTAA